AAACCTCAGAACTTTCTCCCGCAAAAAATTTTAAAAAAAAATTCAACAATCAATGTCCTTTATGAATTATTACTTTTGTCCCCCACTAGAATTTCAAAAATATCTATAAATTTAATTTGTTCCTCAAAGTAACATTTCTGGCTCTGTTTATGTATATTGCATGAGGTTAGTTAACGGGATAAAAATTAAAAATATTATCATCAATACTACAAAATTCAATACATTTTTTGATCAAGCTTGGCAAGAAGGTGGTCTTAAAATAATTTTTTTTAAAAAAAAGAAAAGTATACAAACCAAAATAAACTTTTTCAAACAAGAAAAAAACTTTTTGAAGAAGTACACAAATATCTTACGCAAGTAATAAAAAAAAAAAGACTTGAATTTGAGAAAATAAGATGGGGGATGTTGAGCACATGCTACGCTGAAATTGACTAAACACTTCAATTGATTTTAGGCAGCCAAAAAGACAAAAAGTTCAACTACTTAATATGCTGACACCTATCCTCTTTAAATTATCATAACAACACTCCTAATTCTTGGTTCAATTGTTACTTCTCTAATTCCTCCCTCTTCTCCCATATACCAAATCCTTACACTTGAAAATCATTCTCCTCCCAAAACTTTTAGCATAAACTCGCACAAGAAAATGAAAACCAAAACCACAAGATTTCTTTTCTAATGTTAAAATTTTATTTTCATCCATCACATTGATGTGAAGTTTTTCGAAGTTCTTTTCTATGTGAAGGATTTCGGGAGGGAGGGAGGGAGGAGAAATGTCATGAGAGAGGGCGACAGGAGAAGGAGCCTACTATTTAATGGGGTTGCCTTTTTAAATTGGAGTTAAATAGTGGGGACAAAAATCAAAGGGCAATCTTCATAAATTTCCAAACATCCTCAAATTAATCCTAGACATGACGTGATTGACTTAAAATAATGTGTTGTTTTTTGCATATATGTTTGTCAGAAGAAGAATTTGGTGACTTCATCTGATTGAAAAAAAAAATTAAAAACGTAAGATTCCCTGCTTTTTATCTTCCATGAACTTTTTCCTCTAATCTTTTTTCCTTTTTTTGTATTTGTTACCTTATTACTATAACTTTTTCAATATTGATCAAGGTATCAACTTTTTGGACTTTTCAGAGGTATGCTGTTGTTAGGTTGCATTTCTAATATATAAAATGCTCACATGTTTTAAGAATAATAAAAGGATTCCTCTAGTTTGGTTCTTCTGGATTCTTTGGATTGTAATTAGTTATAAAACACAATTTATCGCGCAAGGGTCTTATTGCTGTTGTTATTCTTTTATTCCTCTTTTTCCATATCGAAACGTAGTCATATGAAGTTGCCTTGCGCTGGCGATGTAAAATGAAAGAGGACCTTGAAGTGGACCATTGTTGGTATTGCTAGAAAAGAAAAGAGAAGCTGTTTGTTAGATGTTTTAAATTGGTCGAGTCTTGAAAAATTTTGTTATGAGGTTTGATGCTCTTATTAGCTTCCAACAAGTTCCTATTATCCCAGACAGACTCAAGTTTGTCTGCCTAAAACCTCAATTGGTTAAGCACTGCTCATTCCCTTTGCCCTTTTTAAATATATTCATAGGCTTTTGAAGGATTAAGCTTCCTAGGCTGAAGGAACAGAAACCAGGTATCACGAGCACTCAGTACAAGGACATGATCTGGAACCCGTGGAAGAAATCTCCTGAGAATCCTCTTTACTAGGTAAATATTGGGTTTTCATTTTTATCGAATGAGGATATGATTGATGCGGTTAGGGGTCTCCTCCATCCACAGATATGTAAGCACTTTTTTTTTTTTTTTTTAATTTGTTGGTTTCATACTCATATTGAGTAAGGAAGCAGAAAGCAAAATCTTCTAGGTTATAGGATGTTGTGCTCCACTTAGCCCTTCCTTTGTGCTGGTCTTTAGGGGGCAGTAGTTATTGTGCCAAGTCAATTGGAACTCTGAATGTAGTGCTGATTGATGAACAAGGAATATGTTTAAGTTTAATATAATTCTGGGGTGATTTTTTGCTTTGACCCAAAAAAAAAAAAAAGGAAAGATGGAATTCTGCTTTATGATGACTGATCAAATAGGTTGCACAGAAATTATAAAAATTTGGTTTCATTTTGACTATAATTGTACAGGTGTGAAGACGTTCGACAGGGTTATAATGGGTGCAGAGGGTACATCAATTCCTTTGGTTATAAAAATTTGGTTTCATTTTGACTATAGTTTTCACCCGTTTTGGTTAAATAAACAGGAAACTTGGTTTTACAAAGAAGATTTTGAGGGGGAAAAGGGAAAATTTTTCCATATGTGTGACGTGTTTTTATCTGCAGGTTAATTTTTGTTAGAGTCTCATCATCGAAATCCCTAAAATACCCCTTTTGGATTGCTCGATTAGGAGCCTGAGAGAAATTATACGGTGGCACTGCCGCTGAGTTCCTTGATTGGAATCGAAATATAAGTTTAGGGATCAGATTGACTATAAATAATATATAGGGACTAAATCAACGGGAAAAAAAATTTAGGGACTAAATTGGCCATTATCCCTTATAAATAACATGTAAAAGATGGCCTTACTAATTGCGGACAAATGCTGGTAGTTCTTGTATTAGATAGTATGACAATATTTAGTTAATTAATGATTTTTTTAAAAAAAAAATTTGTGCAAGCGGCCTAGCTGAATTTTGTAGCTTGACTACTTTTTGTAAAAATTCAGGTAATTCTTGCATTAGATAATATGACAACATTTACTTAATTAATGAATTTTTTATTTTATGCAGGCAGTCTAGCTGAATTTTGTAGCTTGATTACTTTTTGTAAGAGTTCTTTTCAGGAAGTTGGAAGGATAACAGAAGCAATTACAATAGTCTTGAATTTTTTATAACTTTTTCTTGCTATTACACACAATTATCAATGCAATTTTTGTATTTTCCAAATTTATTTTTTGAAACAAATATGCACAATAGGTTTGATACATCTCAAAAAAAATATGCAAAGACCAAATGTAGCAAGGTTGATAGTGGTGGAATTTATTTTAAATAATTATAAAGAAATTATCAAAGCTATGCAATCTTCTTGTGCCTCTATAATAAAAAAAAACTTTTAATTTTCAGTTCATGTTGGAAATTATAGATTTTATATATTTACTACTAGATTGAAGCTTTCCTTTCTTGTTATGCTACTTGACAATCAGGATAACTACATAGCAATAATAACATCATTATAGGAATCAATTTTGAAAATAAATCACATTGGGAATATTTTTTAGAAAGAGAATTATTTTGGCAAAAAACTCGTCATCTAATCTATACTCCTGCGTCCATCTATTTCTCACCACGAAGAAGGTAATATACGAATGAACTTGCCGGCCGTGCTCATTAATGTACAGTGGAAAACTCTACCCCTTTTGAGTCCTAGAATACTTGTTTTGCATATGGTTATTTCCAGATTTGAGGCCTTACAAGTTCTAGTCCAAATTAATTGTTACATTGGGTAAAAGCTCGTACAATTTTGGTGTAATCATGTTTTTGCATAAATTTAGTTGTATAAGTTACAAACTTAAGTTTTACATCAAAGTTGTTTCGGTTTACACAAAATATTATAAAAATTATACAATCTGATTAAACTGGATAATAACTCAACTTGTGAGATACCAAGATCTAGTTATTTTCCACCTATAGCTAAAAATGAATAAACCCATGTCAACTTGTGTCACTCGCTTAGGTGGATATATATTTTTAGAGGTGACAATGAATTGAGTAGATTCTGAATACTCATATACTCAAGCTAGACGAATGCTATATTTAGGCACTTGAGCTCGACTTGAATAAAATTAAAGGAGGTTGAGCTCGTGCTAGAGCTCGCTTGAGAAAACAAAGTGAGCTCAAATTGAGAATTCCTCGATAATAAGTGGCCTTACTACTAATGGAGACTTCGTTAATTTCATTATTATTATTATATATAAAAAAAAAAGCTTGACAAAGCTTTTAAACTGCATGCCTTAAGGTTTGACCCCGACCAAAAAAGGGGTTAGAGTTGCTCAAGCTCAATATCAACTCAGTCAAACACGAGCTCAAATAAGTATTTGACTAGCCACTTTTTTTTTTTTTTTTGTTATAACGATTATATTCTTATAACCTAATCTATCATATTCTATAGGGAGGGAGAATCTAAAGAGGTTGTATAAAGGATTAGCAGGTGCACAAACCTAACTACATCAAAGGAGTGCTCTAGCACTCCTTTGAATTTTTTTTCACTACAAGTGGGATTTGAAATGCTCCATTGATTGCCACCCCTAGTCATTTTGCAACTCAAGGACTCAACACATGAATTTTGAAGTGACATAAATTACCATCATTAAAATTAAAAACCCTAGAATCAAATAGATTAGAGATATTGAATAGAGTATTTTTGTTCTATGTTCTTCTAATGAAATTTTCTATTTTGATCTAATATTTATTCAACTTTCTCAAATTTAACTGATAAAAATATTTTAAGAGACTAAAGTGATAGAAATACCAAAAGTCAAGGGTATAAAGTGTAAAAAACCCTTTTGATAGTCAAATAACATATTTGATTTTCTACTCAAAAATTACATATCCTGTCAACTTAGACCTTTTGTCGAGGAGGTTAAGTCATAAAAAGTTCCACTATGAAACCTCCTATTTTCCCTTCTCCTTGTACAATTGCAGCTTTCCACTGAACCCAAAGATAAATAAATAAATGATAAAAAACTATAAGTAGGCACTAAAGTGATAAACATGCTAAAGTTTAGGTGGCTGAAGTGTTTGAAACACTTGAGTTTTCTTGCAATGCTATACTTGGAGTCCTAATAGGAAACAGAATAGACGCATTATAGGGCATCCCATTATAGGATTCCTAAAAGAAAACTTTTGCAAACTTCCAAAGTATATGAAAACCTCCACATCTTTTCTTTTTCCTTTACTTTCAACTCATCCCCTCGAAGTTAATTGTATCAATTCAAGAGCCAAAACCATGGAAAAAGAAGTGCCGCAGTACTTGCCGGAAGGCATAATCCACCATATATTCTCTTTTCTCAACACAAAACAGAGAACCCAAGCAAGCCTTTTATCCAAGGCTTGGCTGAAGGCATGGCGCACAAACCCCAGATTAGATTTTGATGATCGGTACTTCCACCAAATAAAGAACCCTGTTTGTAAATTTTTCGAGGATCAACGAAATTTCTCACTTAAGCATCCAGGAAATTGCTCGAGTTGTGAAGAGAAGTTCAGGGCCCATGTTAGCAATTATACTTTGTTGCGGAAACATGCTTACCAAGATCATCATGTAGAGGAGTTCAATCTTTCCATGACCTTGATCAAGGACGATTATGTGGTTTGTGACCTGATCAACACATGGCTTGGGTTTGCTGTAGAATTTGGTGTCAAAGTTCTTCAAGTCACTTTGCATCAAGGTCTGTATTCATCGTACACTCTGCCTATTGGTCACATATTACCTAAGGCTGAATCATTAACAGAGTTACGGGTTAAAAATTGTAGATTCCCAATGCAGATATATGGTGAAAGGAATATTATGTGCAAGAATATCAAGGTATTAAAATTTGAAGAAGTCTACATAACTAACGAGATGTTTGATTGCTTAATTGCGGGTTGCCCCTCGATCAATGATTTGGTGATCATTGATTGCAGGGGCTTGAACAAAATCGAGTTGATCAACCTTTGCAGCCTCGAAAAACTTCGTATATATGTAAAGAATGATTTAAGTATCAAAGTTGATCAAGCGCCTTGTATTGAGAATGTTGAGTTGTTGTCTTTGGATTGGATGAATTTTGTTCAACTTGGCACATCTCCAAATTTGAAGAGCTTATCACTATATAGTGGCAGATGTATCAGAAATGGTAAATTGTTCGATGACTTCGTGACCAAATTCCCTCGTCTCGAGTATCTGAGAGTTATAGAATCAGGTAGCTTTGCTGGCTTGGAAAGAATAAATCTAACAAGCCACTCGCGGAAGCACATACACTGGTTTTCAACTTCAGAAACGCCCAAAGAATTAGATATTGATGCTCCAAGCCTTGCATCTTTCTCATATAGCAATCAAATCATCCCAAATTTATCTTTTGCAAGTGCTTCATGCAATATGAGGTCTTGTATATCTATATGCTGCCCTCATCTCATTGACTACTCGTGGTTTCTGAGGTGTTAGGTCTGGCCCCAGAAAATTGACAAAAGGATTTGTAGCAACCCCCAAAGACAAATAACAAAGCAGAAATAAGTAAAACAAGAACACAAAAAATTTACGTGGTTTGGTCAAATTGATCTATGTCCACGGGCGGAGGAGGAGCAATATTTTAATATGAAGAAGAGAGTACAAAAGATGCCTTAGGAAAGTGTTCCTAGGTCTAAAACACCTAATACTAAAATACAAGAGAACCCAAAAGTATTTAACTAAACAAAAGATTTAAAGACCCAAAGGCCCAAATAGCCCACTAATGCTCTCTTGGTCTTGGTGCTCTTAACCCCATCACAGGCCCACTATATTTATAGGCAACCAAGGGAAAGGTTCCCTTATACAAAAGCCGATGTGGGACAACGTCACACTAACAAATCTCCACTTTGGCGTGTCCCCAACATCAACAGTAGCAAAACTGCTCCACCTTCTCCACATAAGCCCCAATGGGCTCACCAATAACGAATACCAACCCAATTCAAGTATTGTTTGAACTTGTAAACTGGAAGAGGTTTCGTGAACATGTCAGCAGGATTCTCCTTGGTACTGATTTTCTGAACAAGGACTTTTCCCTCAACAATAGTATCTCAAATGAAATGAAATTTCACATCAATGTGCTTCGTCGTCTCATGATACATCTGGTCTTTTGTCAAATGGATGACACTTTGACTATCACAGTAAATAGTAGTAACACCTTGATACAAACTAAGTTCGGCAAACAGACTCTTCAATCACAAGGCTTCTTTGATTGCCTCAGTCATGGCCATATATTCTGCCTCCGTAGTAAATAAAGCTACAATGGGTTGTAAAGTAGCTTTCCAACTAACTGCACAACCGCCAATGCAAAATACGTAACCTGAAAGTGATCTTCTCCTGTCAAGATCTCCAGCATAGTCAGAGTCTACAAAACCAACCAAAGTGTCATTATTTCTTCCAAACTCCAAACTACAATTTGAAGTCCCTCGCAAGTATCTGAGAATCCACTTCATAGCCTGTCAATGTGCTTTTTCGGGACACGACATATACCTGCTAACCACATTGACTGCTTGTGCAATATCTGGACGAGTACAAACCATTGCATACATAATGCTGCCAACTGCGTTGGAATAAGGAACCCATATACTCTTCCTCTTCAACTGATTGTGGTGACTGAGTAGCAGATAGTCGAACATGACTAGTAAGAGGAGTAGTCACAGGTTTAGCATCTTTCATGCCAAACTTCTCCAAAACCTTTTCAAGATAATTTTCTTGAGTCAAGAATAATTTTCCAGCTCCTCGGTTACTTTTGATCTCCATATCAAGAATTTTCTCAACTGCTCCCAAATGTTTCATGTCAAATTCACTACTTAATTGCAACTTCAAAGTGTGAATTTCTGACAAATTCTTGGCAGCAATGAGCATGTCATCAACATAAAGCAGCAAATAAATAAAAAAACCATCATCTAACTTCCGGAAGTAAACACAACTATCATATATGCTCCTTGAATAACTATGACTCAACATAAAAATGTCAAATCTCTTATACCACTATCTTGGAGACTGTTTCAATCCATATATGGATTTTTTTAACAAACAAACATAGTCTTTCTTTCCTTCAATTTCAAATCCCTGAGGTTGTTTCATATAAATTTTTTCTTCAAGTTCACCATATAAAAAAATTGTCTTAATATCAAGTTGCTCCAACTCCAAATCATACATGGCAACTAAAGCAAGCAAAACACGAATAGAGCGATGCTTAACAACAGGTGAAAATACTTCATTAAAATCAACACTTTGTACCTGACTATAGCCCTTTACAACCAAACGTGCTTTATATCTTGCATCTTCAACTCCTAGAATACCTTCTTTTTTCTTGAAAACCCATTTGCATCCAACAATTTTCTTACCTGGATGCGGCTTCACAAGAACTCAAGTTCCATTTCGATGAAGAGACTCAATTTCTTCATTCATCGCAACCAACCACTTAACAGAATCATCACAAGAAATCGCATCTGAATAAGTAGTAGGCTCATCAGCTACATCAGTTTCTTCTGCGATAGACAAAGCATATGTAACCAAATTTGCATATCTTTGTGGTGGTCGAATATCCATCCTTGGTCTATCTCTGGCAATGGAATATTCTTCCTCTTCTGAATTATTTTCATTAGTAGATTCAGATGCATCTACTGGCACTTGTTGAATAGAAGGACCAGAACTACCAATCTCAAGCTCCACCTACTTCTGCATACTATCATCTGTTTGACAAAAACTAGAAGACTCCTTCTTGGAAGATAACATATAAAATTCATCAAAAGTAACATCTCGACTGATTATAAATTTTGGAGATTTAGGATCAGAACACCACAATCTGCATCTTTTCACCCCAAAAGCATACCCAAAGAAAATACACTTTTTAGCACGAGGTTCCAATTTTTCATCATTTACATGCATGTATGCTGGACACCCAAAAATTTTAAAATCAGAAAAATCAGCAAGAGTACCTAACCAAACTTCCTCAGGAGTTTTGAAATTGATAGCAGCAGAAAGAGCACGGTTGACAATATAACAGGCCATAGAAATTACTTCAGCCCAAAAAACCTTGGCCAACCCTGCATTAGAGATCATGCACCTCGCTTGCTCCAAAAGTGTTCTGTTCATACGTTCGGCCACACCATTTTGTTGAGGCGTCATCCTGACAGTGTGATGCCGAACAATTCCTTCATTCTTACAAAATTCATCAAATTCTCTTTCACAAAATTTCATACCATTATCTGTTCTAAGCCGCTTGATCTGTTTACTTGTCTGTTTCTCAATCAAAACTTTCCATTGCTTGAAAGTGAGATAAACATCATTTTTATGTTTAAGAAAATAAACCCAAACTTTCCTTGAATAATCATCAATGAAAATCAACATATACCTGGCACCACCCTTAGACGGAACACGAGATGGACCCCATAAATCTGAATGAATATAATCAAGAGTACCTTTCATCTTATGAATTGCTTGAGAACTGAAGCTAACTCTTTTTTGCTTGCCAAAGATACAATGTTCACAGAATTCCAGTGACCCAGTACTCTGACCGCAAAGAAGTCCCCATTTGCTTAGTATGCCCAGGCCTTTCTCGCTCATATGTCCCAAATGCATATGCCACAATTTAGTGATGTCAGAATCAGACAAAGATGATAATGACGAAACTGCAACCGAGCCTGTGACAGTAGATCCCTGCAAAACATATAAACTACCAACCCTGCAAGTTTTCATTACAACGAGAGCACCTTTAGAAACCTTCATAATGCCATTTTCACCTGTGTATTTGCACCCAAGAGCCTCTAGAGTGTCCAAAGAGATGAAATTTTTTTTCAAATTAGGAACATGTCTAACATTAGTGAGTGTTCTCACAATACCATCATGCATTTTAATTCGAATTGCACCCTTACCAATAACATTACAAGCGGCATTATTACACATCAAAACAATTCCACCATTGTAAGATTCATAAGTGGAAAATAAATCCCTATTGGGACACATGTGATAAGAGTACCCCGAATCTAAAATCCATTTATTTTTAGATCTTGTCCTGTCATCAGTCACAAAAAAAATACTTCCTTCATTCTCATCAGCTGCAACACTAGTTTCGACAGTTTCAAAATTTTTCTCACCAGGTTTTCCCTTTTGTTTCAATTTATTTTTCAATTTGAAATAATCTGCCTTAATGTGCCCCATTTTATGACAATAATTCCACTCCACATTTCTATGTCTGGATTTAGATCTAGATTTAGAGCTACTTTTATCAAATTCTCTTCTCTCAGTTCTGCCCCTAACAACCAAACCTTCTGCATGGCCTCCACTAAATTTTCCAGTAATATTCCTGTCTATCTGCTCCTTAGATTTTAATGCAGATTTAATTTTTCGATACGAAATTGTTTCTTTTCCATAAATCATAGTATCGCGAAAATGTTTAAAAGATTGGAGAAGAGAACACAAAAGTAACAGGGTCTGATCCTCATCATCAATTTTTGAATCTATATTTCCCAAATCCATAATAATGGAATCAAATTTATCAAGATGTGAGAGTGTAGATGTACCTTCAGTCATGCGAAGCCTATACAAACTTTGCTTTAAATAAAGCCGATTCTCAACTGTCTTCTTCATGTACAAGACCTTAAGTTTGTCCCACATGGCCTTTGCCGAAGTCTCAGTGGCTACCTCCCGCAAAACCTCGTCAGAGAGATTTAAGATAATACTGGATCTTGCCTTCTTATCCATCTTAGCAAAATTTGCTTGTCACACTCTCTGGCTTTTTCTCAATTCCGTGTATCGCTAGATCAACTCCGTTTTGAACCAAAATGGCCTCCATCTTGAGCTGTCACATTCGTGTCAAATTTCTTGAGACAGTCTTTGTTATTATCATTGTTGCCACAAAATCCAAAGCCTCCGAAGAAGCTCTGATACCAGTTTGTTAGGTTTGACCCCAGGAAATTGACCAAAGGATTTGTAGCAACCCCCAAAGACAAATAACAAAACAAAATTAAGTAAAACAAGAACACAAGAATTTACGTGGTTCGGTCAAATTGACCTACGTCCACGGGCGGAGGAGGAGCAATATTTTACTATGAAGAAGAGAGTACAAAAGATGCCTTAGGAAAGTGTTCCTAGGCCCAAAACACATAATACTAAAACACAAGAGAGTCCAAAAGTATTTAACTAAACAAAAGGCTTAATGACCCAAAGGCCCAAATAGTCCACTAATGCTCTCTTGGTCTTGGTGCTCTTAACCCCATCACAGGCCCACTATATTTATAGGCAACCAAGGGAAAGGTTCCCTTATACAAAAGCCGATGTGGGACAACGCCACACTAACATGAGGTTGTATAAGCTGATGTTGAATTTGGTTCCGTCTAGAATATCACTGGGAATCGAACTCCCTCACGCTAAACATGGCTTCCAAGAGAGCATAGAAGACAGATTAATTGCGATGATTCCGGGTACTTGTGTTC